CAAATCTATCATAACAACAAATCCTCAGTTCATATATATCATCACACTTTCATAGCCATAAACAAAATCCTCCATAAAATACAATTACAAATCAAAAAGCATACGATTGCAGCGCAGGTACAAAAGAAGCAATATTCAATAGAAAAAGGGAAAAAAAGAATAAACAATCCAAATCCAAAAAAAAAAAAATTCCTTTCTTCCTTTCGGAGAAAGAAAAATGAACACACTAAGTAGTTGTTGAGGTTGAGTTAGACACAAGTGATTATAGCTTAATCATAATGAAATTAGAAACACAAACAAGTTCAATTTTGATCACGACAACAAAACCAATAAAGGGAAAATCTTAACCAACATAAAATCAACACACAACACCTTTTAATATGCATTCAACACTCCAAAACAAAAAAAAACAAAAAAACCTAAATTTAGAAACATATATAAAATAGAAAAAACCTTATGAAAGATGAACTCATAAAAATCAAGTATATAAGACAAAATTCAAACATTTATAACCAATAAACAAAAAAAATTAACTTTTTTCATAACATTTTCAGCACTATCTTCTACCAACCAGAATTAAAAAAAAAAATCAAAAAAAGGGGTTTGGTTAAAACCTCGGCAAGTCGCAATCTTTAGGTTGCCATCTCCACTTAGTATAAAAAGCATCAGGTCTCCCATTCTCAGAGCAACGAAAGCCCTGATCCAAGAAAGAACAATTAGAGGAATGATAAAGTGGATAAGCTTCATCCCAAACCCAATTTCCGTCGAAAACATCACACTTATCACCCTGTGGAGTCATGAATTGAACAGGAGGAGGAGGAGATGAGGAGGAGGAAGAAGAAGAAGAAGATAGCGTTGAAAATTGGAAGGTAAAGAGTTTGGTTCCATGGGAGTGAAGTATACCCTTGTAATCAACGTAGAAGAAGCATCCAATGAAAAGAACGGAGAGGAAAAAGAAACCGAAAGTGGTTATAGAAGGTTCTAGAGGGTTAAAGCGTTTGAATTTGTTGAGAAAATTCATGTGTAGTTGTTATGGTGTGAGAAGAAACATTTGTTGATTCAGTGGAACAAGAAGAAGGAATCAAAGGAAAGAACGAAAACAAGGGAAGTGATTGGAGTTTGAGTTTTAGATTTTTTCCTTTTATTTTGGGGAATGGCCAAGGATTAATTGTTGAATTTTATTTATTTAAAATAATGTTACTAATTAAAAAATATTTTAATTAATTATTCGTCGGAGAATGAAATGAGTCTAGTGGAGGTGGAATATTGTGTACCATTGGACGCGGAAGTAATTATCTTTTTTTAATTAAATTATTCTATTTTTTAATTATTTATGTTTTCTTAAAAGAAGGTGATAAGCACGTCGCATGGTAAAATAAGAATTGGACAATTGAAGACCCAGTTGAATTTTTGTTAATACAAATATTTAAAACTTGTAAAAAAAATGGTTTTAAAATATTTATCATTGTATAGTGCAGCGAGTGTGTTCCTCTTTCTCCTATCCTATTGGCATCCAACCTGTCTATGTGTGCCAGCTTATTGTACAGGAGTTAACAAAATATTAGGGGTTGCCTATTTTGTCCGTACTATTGAATATATTTAGAAAAAGAGCTAGTAATAAAACAAATTGAAAGTATATATGGAAACTTACATGAAATTAAATTTAACTTTAAAATAAATTATTTTTACTTTAACTTTTTATTCAAAAATCAAATATGTGTATCAATGTGTGTGAAAAATAAGAATAATACATTTTAACTATTAAATTTTAAGTATATTTTAAATATTAAATTATTTATTTGCAAATTTGTTAACTAAAAAAGATATGGTTTGAAAATGGTCAAACAACTAGAGACTAAGACCAATATTAAAAATATCAATTTAGTTTTTTCTTTTAGAATCAACACACAACACCTTTTTTATAGACAATTGTGAATATAATTTTTTTATGTCAAAGTACCATTTCAATAGAGTTTGTTGTTGTTGAAATATTCTGTGTGCATAAATTGTATAGATGTCGAAATATCGAAAAAAATGTGTTTTTGAATGAAATTAAGACTTAGCTTTATTTTATATTTTTAATTAAATTAGATTAATTGGAGGTTGCTTGCTGTGCAAGCAATCTTGACATGTGAATAGAGAGGTATTCTTGTAAAGAAAGTTGTATAGAAAAAAGATTCATTAAACTTCAATTTGAAGGCAAAGAGAAACTCTCTAAAAATATTCTCTTTCTTTTTATCTTTCAAAATCCTAATTATCCTTTCTTGCTCAATTCATCTTTTCTTCTTTCTTTCATTATCGATCGTGTAGTAGAATCATCTTGTAATCGGGGTTGATTAATTCACTCGAGTGAAGAAGTCAAAATAATATGTGAAATCTATAAGTGTGATTGATTCTTCTTGTTCATCAAGATCGATTCAAAATTCTCCATAAGTTTGATCTAATTCCAACATACACTAATCTCTCAAATCGGATAGAACCACCATAAATGGTAATGTTATGCTCGAGATAATTTAACACACTTGTGTGTTTAGGATTATATTCAAACACAAGACTTCTAATTAAATTGAAAGAAATCTTCGTCATGTCATCCAAATGTTCTTGAACTTTAATTATTTAGAATAATGTTACTAATTAAAAAATAATAATTAATTATTTGTGGGGAAAAGAAATGAATGGATTGGAGATGGAATATTGTGCACTAGGGATGACAATGGATAGGATTTAGGTAGGTGTTAGTTGGAATTTTAATGCATACATTACTTAACACAAATGACTAAATTGTAGCAAAAAAGCTTAAAACACCCAAATAATATTTTTGCCTAGTTGTTAATAGAGGCCCATATACCATCGAAGGGCGGCTTTCCCAAAGGTGCCTAACAATAACTTACACTTTAGAGAGTCTTATGCTCTTATGATGGTCATCTGAGTGTTGGTGGAGGTGACGTGCTCGTAAGGGTCAGTGCGTCCGTCAAACTTTGCTAGGAATAAAGGTTTGAAGCCTTTTGGAACTAGAGGGCCATATTTCATCCGACAAAGACGGAGGCTCTAACACTTATTTTTCTTCTGGAGGATTGACCTCCCGTTAGCGTTGTCTGATGTTTTGGACATCATCCTTCAACGCCCGTTGTGGCGGCGTAATTCGTCTATAGCGGCTCACATGTCCTCCATGACCTTGACAACGCCTGTATCAATGGTACCCTTAAGAGTAATGAATGGAGCTCTTATGTTCACCATGTGTGGTAATGGTTAGAAACGGGAGTTAAGGGTATATCAGACAATGATGGTTTTTAAGATAGAGGTGTGACTCATGTTAGTTTTATCGAACGTCAATGTATTGTCCAAAAAAAATACTGTGTGTATGTGTGTTCCCCTGTAAGAGCATGGAGACTCAGAGGTCCTAGTAGGTATATCAATCGAATAGGGTGAGGGCAGGTCACAGTGGTGAGTAGTCTTGTATGGTGGTTTTTTTAGGTTGTTTAAGGGACCAACTCACGTGAGGTGAGAAACCTTGTCGGCGGTTGACGCTGCTAGGTTGCACTCAGACAGTTAAATTATCGATGTTACAATTTTTGAGAGCGAAGTGCTCTCTGAGCAATATTGGATGGTAGTGAGTGAATATGACTTTTCCTTATCCCTTTCTCGGTCTCAACTGTTCCCCTTTATTAAAGAGATTATTGACTGACTATATTTTCGGAATCAACAAGACATTTTTCTCATTGGACTTCCATGCTACATGGACCGTAAGGGCGACCTCACAGGATTCCGCCCAGACGACCCAATAGTTAGGCGAGTGGCGCCCCAACATAGGACTTTGCTAAATAAAACACTACGAGATCAAACAAAACGGAAAAAAAATTCAAAATGTTATTAAATTTTTATTGTAAAATATTAGACAATAAACTTATTTATATTATTATTTTAGATTGAATATAACTAAATTCAAAATTACAATAATTCAATGTATCTCGTTTAATTTTATTATAAAATTTATATATAATTTTAATATATTTTAATACTATTTTCAATTTTTCATATATATTAAAAATATTTTGTACACTTTTATTAATATTCTTTTAACTAATAAAAGTTAGTGTAATAATATAATATAATAAAATAATAAAACCAACAATTTCTTAATTAAAAAATTTCTTTTTATATTATTTTTGTATTAATTAATTAGTGTAATAGTTAATTTGCTAAATACTCGAATCAACTTCGCATTAACTATAAACTATCATCAACTACCAATTAATAAAAGAGACTCTCTTAGTATCGTAGTTTGATTTCACGTTACTTAATTTATTTACTTTTTTATACACCTTCAAATATACTTTATCTGTCTCAAAATAATAATAAAAATTATCCAAAAAAATTGTTCAAAAATAAGAGGTTTTTTTACGTTTCAATGCAATCATTAATTTTTACTAATTTTATACTTAATAAATATTATCCACACAATTTATAAAATTATTATATTTAATTATTTAATAATTACCTTAATTTATTGAGTATGTAAGAATCTTAAAGTTTTCATTTTGAGGGAGTAATTAAGATTATATAAAAATATATAACAATAGCCGACAACGGACAACCGCTAGCCCTTTTTGTTACTACTTTACCGAAAACAACAATATTAAAACTCTTCATTTTATTTAAACCCTAAAATTGATACCTAGTTGCAAATCAATTATCTCTAATCTAAAAATAGTCCAAAGCATGCAAATTAATTATATCTAAGATTGGACTGGCATTGTTATTTTCACAACATGATTGCAAGCAATTGGCAATAGCTAAAGAGACAAACACCAAATTACCTAACCAATTGTCCAATATAAGAAGTGAACAACCTGATTCAATCCTAATCCTAAAATCACAGTATTTTCACAAATCAGATCAGAACAGAAAACACAACAAAGAACACAGCTAATGTTATTTCACTTGACAATTTAACGAAATACAGAATTCAATAAAAGGAATAGTAAACAACCGCGCTCAAACTATCTGTCGTCTTGTGTCGCATCTCCGGAGACAGTTTCAGGAGGAGGAGCGGCGGCAGCGTCAGGAGCAGGAGCATCGTCAGGGTCCCGGGTCGGGTCGGATTTGTCGATGGAGTCACGGGTCTGAGAAAGGAAGGGTTTGAAAGCGAGTTCAATAGCGAGCCAGACAAAGGCTAGGGCACCCGCCACCACAACCACTTCTTTTGCCTTTCCCATTTTTTTTCTATCGCTCATCTGTTAATCTTCTATCTTACTTACTACGCTCTCAATTTATTGTTACAGTACTATATATGAAGACAAATACAATAATGCATTACGTGTTACTCACAACCACAAACAAGTTCGTAATCCAAATTCCTAGTACTACCACACACATACGTAACTTTTTTGAAGCTGACAGCTTCCTTAATATCCATCGCATAAAATGAGTTTTTCCCACATAAGATAAATCAAACTAATTACTGCTGTTTTCCCATTGGTTAATTTCCATTTCAAAACCTTCACATTAAATGTGTGTATTTTAATGTCAAAATCTAAATCGAATATACTTTGAAAAGTTCTAAAATTACTTAACACATGTCATCCAAATTAAAATTTGCTAGAATAGAAGATTATATATTTTTTATGTTTTAACAAGTAGTTTTAGTAACACAAGTAAATTCATAAATTTATTTCCACTTTAAATAAAATATATAAATTACTTTAACTAAGAATATATATATATATATATATATATATATATATATATATATATATATATATATATATTTCAATGCTTACTTTCCAACCAAAATAAAAAGTTATAGAAAATACACTTTTATCTGCAAAACAAAAATAAAATCTATACAAAATATCATATAAACACATCTGTCATTAATCAATCTATATTTATCAGGTGATTTTGCAAGTCATTACTAATTCAATGCTAACTTAAACTTTTCAATTTTTATTTTTTGGCTAATTTATCATGTTTTTTTCAAAAACCCAATTTGTAACAAAGCAAAGACATTGATCAGCAATTCCAATAAACTTCCTAACCTTCGTTCAGTTCATTAGTATTTTAGCATTATCAAACAGAGCAAGTAAGAAAATAACAACATTAACTCCACATAACTAATTAACAATCCATTGATGTCTCAAACCGCACGGAAAAAATTCACTACAATAAAGATACAATGAAATCCAAAAAATTGGGATACACAATTTATCGGCCACGCCCACGACCGCGTCCACGTCCTCTCCCCCGTCCTCTCCCCAATGGCTTTCCCCCTGCAATTACATGTGAAAATTAAAAACCAGAAATCTGTAGATAACAATGCTTCTAGACATGTGGCTCAGATTGAAAAAACAATGCAGTTATATTCAAATAATATGCAGTACCAGCAGTTGGCTTCTTAGGTTTGATCCTAGGGGCCTCTTCAACCAGTAAAGTTTCCAGATTCAAGCTGTCAGGAAGGATATAGTAACGAATGTTGTTGCCTCTCACACTGAGATGATCCAGAGTAACAGGATTTTTCCCCTTTAGGGTTAGTTTAACGGCTTTCAAATGTGTATTCATACTAATATCAACACCTATAGCATAGCAACATGTTCAATGATCAGTACAACTATCTATTGCTTCAAAATACTTCTAAGCCCGTCACAGAATAAAGGCACGGAAATTCACTAGATAGACATGAGCCTATAGCTATATGTATTCACTATTCATTGGTGCTGAATTAGATTGTATATAGATAATAAGTAGTAATATGTTGCCCGTCGAGAATACAAGCCACGAATTCACCGTATCTTTCAAGTTTAAACTAATAATAAATATTGCATGAAAGAAAATTATTGTATTTGCAATTTATTCAAAAAGCAGGTAGACACATCTGCACCACAGACTTTAGGGGATTCAATTGGAAGTGATGGAGGCGAATGGTACAATTCCGCCAAGTTTGGATTAGTAAGCTGTAACTTGCAAGGCTAAACTAGTGGAATAGGCATAAAATACAAGGCTTTAAAATGATGAAGATTATGATGAGTAAACTCTAAATTTCATTAGTATCAACCATACTTGCAGCATAATACAAAGATATTGGGAGAGGGTATTGCAGAATATGCCAGCTATAAGAAAAATTTAAAATGCATACCAAAAATACCAAAAGAAATACAACAAAATATAATTAAAGAAACAATATGCAGACAACAATAGAAGATAATTAGAGAATTGAAATCAAACATCTTCCTAAGACCCAATTGTACAGATAAGAAGAGAACAAGACATTGTTCAGATTACAATTCAAGAAATTACGAAAAAATAACATGTTTATTACCAAGAATAAGAGAGTTTTTCAATATCTCTATCAAGCCAAAAATGACAAATTGACAACTCTTGTCAAAAAAGCCCAGACCAAAACGCCAAAGAAAAGCCAGGAAAACAATCCTACCCTAGGCTATAGGAACTTTGAATAACAAGATATTTCATAATTCAAAATTATTATTCTAACAAGAAGCCGCCTGGGGGCAACTAGCAAATTATGTCTGGAAAAATGTCAATACAATAAAAGAAGCTGAAAATCTAACTCCATACAGAACATCAACATCTGGTCCACAACATTAAGATTAAAGGACTCCATATCATATTAGATATGTTTTAAAGTAACCTACAACACAGTCATTTAGAAAATGACAAGGTAATTACTAATTAGTCATTCACATTGGCATGACTTGAAGATGTTAACGTATGAGTTAACTACCAACTTAAAACTCATGTCAAATATTGAAACCTTATGGAAGCACCAAATAAATAAGTGAAAGGGAGAAATACCACTTAAAAAACAGATCTAGTTTTAAAACCCCCAGAACATTGCTTCAAAAGTAATGCATGATTATGACTTTTTTCCTGGGAGAAAATATCATAATTACTGATTATGGTAAACCTAACTCAACTAGCAACTCATAGGAATAGAACTAAAACTGAGAGAATGGGCATGGGCGGGTATCATACACACACAGTGTCACAAGTATAACTACAATCATTTATGGTGGAATGTGCAAGTGTGCAAATGCGATTTAAACTATAGCTAAATCCAACTCATTCTTCACCATTTTGTACCTAAAATAGAACTAAATGGATTTTACTTAACAGCGTAGGAATAGGATATGTTAAATCTCACTATTTTGCAACATAAACTAGCTAAATCGTCTCCTGCTTCATAAGAACATATATGTGAAGGATAATTTACAATCTATTATCGATATAAAAAAATGTTTCAACGAAATTTAGAGTAATGTTTAGAGAATTAGGTCAAAAATCGCATTAGGTTTAGAGATAGAGAAACCAGAGAGAATCAAAGACTAAAACGCGATAATGCTAAGCGCGGAGCAACGTTAGGGTTTAACAAAACCCGCATCGGAAGTAATTATGAGGTGAAGAGTTACCTGTAATGGTGCCGTGAACAATAGTACCATTTTTTAACTCGATTGAGACGGTTTCGTTGTTCAACTTCATGAGAAACCTGCTCAAGATTTCATACACACATTTTAGTTTCAGATTGAAAGAGAATACAAGAAATGACGAGTGAAAATGGAGAGAAACAAGGAAATATCAGATATACTACCTAACGAGCTTCATGGTGGCGGAAAAGAGAGGGATGGCGGCGGAAAATTGCGAATCGCGGCACGGGCACGATCGGTGTTTGTCGGCCTCCAAAAGACACTAGCGATTAGTGTTATACCCGGTGCAAGAAGAAACCCATCGCTAAAATACGAAAAGTAAGTAGTAGAAGAATTCAAAAATGTTTTTTATTTTACAAAAAAGTTTAAAATAGTTTTTTTCCTCTTCAAAATAAATAAATAAAATGAAAAGGCGGGTGAACACCACAATTACTGATCTGGATTGAGTTGGGACTTGTCTCTCAGTCGGACAGGCTCAATCCAGTGATATGCTGATAAGACCCAACAAGACTCAATTTTCTTCTGTCGCACACAAGTCTCAACAAGGCACATTAATCCGGCAGAGGATTCTCTTAACGGAGAAGTTCACGCGATTCCCCACGAACTCCACGTATCCCCATGCGGGGAAATGTCATCAGACAACTATCCACTTTCGAAAGAGTTGGTCAACCCACCTTCCGAAGATCACGGGGCAGTTAATCCAGGGCAAAAACTACATGTTGGTCTTCCCTACGCCAAGTAAGCCTTGACAGTTACTTGTGTTGGGCTTGGCAATTCGACCCAATGCAATGTAGTTGTTGACCCTGCGCTAGAGGCACATTATAAATATCTTCTTTCACTAGAGGGTCAGATATCTTATTCACTACACATTTTCTCTGTAATTGCTCTCTCTCTCTAACTTCGTTACTCATTTAAGCATCGGAGCACCTTACAGGTGCACCCCCTCTTCCTCTACAACACTGTTAAAGGCAGTAACTACTGATTCATTTCCGATCAGGTGAATTCAGTGGCACCGTCAGTGAGAATCCTTTGCTTCTTCGTTCTTTCTCCTATCCAAGCATAGAAGCTCGAGAACCAAAGCAACCTTCAACTTCCATTCTTATCATGGCCAGCTCACGCGATGACAATGCTCCAGAAACCACCTTCGTCTCCTTCACCAACAGAGACAGCTACGACCCCAACGGGACCGTCCGCAGCGAAGAAGGCGACTACAGAGACGGGCGCACCGCCTCTCCCTCCTCAAAAGACGCGGTATTTAACGCCGCCCACCTTTTCGACAACCCGACTGTCTACCAACCCATTCCAGTGGTGTTTATTTATCCAAGTGGTGTTTATATGTCTCTTCCCCAGTGTAGTCGTCATTTCTATCGCAATGAGAATTGGATATCAAATTATTGGATCAACTTGAATCTTAATTCATTGTTCACCACCGGTCTTTAATTTGTCCAAGGGAAAGGGGAAAAGATCGAATAACCCACAAGTATGCAATGCAAATGCAAAACTAAAGAGTCTAAGGTTCGGGGGTTGGTTATACCTATGGAAGGTGCTAGCATCCTAAGTATCTGTAGTACTCTACAGGAACCTCTTGTTTTATTATTTTATTGTTTTATTTTGTTATTTGTCTTCTAAAGGATGAAAAGGTAAAAGGGAGACCTAAGGTGTTATTCCTAAGTATGTTCGTCAAGACATCGCATCTTGTACCTACGTATCATAACGGGGATGGAATCATAACATTCGTAGCTCATCTAAAAGGGATTGAGGAACCATTGACTGTGGTCAAAGTTCCAGGGGGGAGAAGGTTTGTTGATTGATTCTAGGAGAAAAGACGAGTCGTCATCTTAAGAGAGAATACTCGACTTAACCACCACAGCTTGTAGGAGGTGATATTTGCGTCATATTGAGAGAAGGGCTCAAAACTCAAATTTATTGACGAGTATGCCACATACCTCTTTCAAGCGGAAAAGATTCCACATCTCGCGGTTGCGTTATGGGGTAGGAGAATTATATATCGACTACATAGATGACTCGCGTCTAATTCTCTTATGGGGAAAATAAGATTGAATTGTTATATAGGTTGGTTTAAGTTGAAAAAGATACGAAGGAAGTCTATCATATCTTAAGGTATAAGGATCTAAGCTGATCAACTTGAGAAATCAAGGATCAAGCGGGGGGAAGATGATGCAAATGATAATGCAGTGTATACGAATTATGAATTCGTGATACAAGTTCTTCCCTTGGACGTGGACAAATATGAATATTAATCACAAGGCAAATAAAAGACGAATATGATGGATATTAAGAAAAGATCACACAAGAATGTGTCAAGGGCTAATTAAACTTACAGGCAAATGGTCACACCTTAGAAACAAACTCAAAACTTACTTCACCAACAATAAATCCTGAATTTTAAAATCAAAATCAAACCTTAACTCACAACTCGTATTTACTTTATTATTTAATTTTTTTAAAATAATAAATAAAATATACTTTCATTTTATTATTAAATTAATATTATTAAATAAACTATAATTTCAATTTATTATTGAATAAATATTAAACAAAATATATTTTAAAAGAATATTAAATAACTAAAATTAAATAAATGAATATTAAATAAATGACTATAAAATAAATAGTCAATACATATTTTTCGTTTATTACTAAATGAAATATATTAAATAAATATTTAGTTTATTATGTTATATATATATATTAACTAATCAAAAATAATTTTGGAAATAAACTAAAAGTATATTTTATTTATTATTTAAAAAACTGAAATTAAATAATAAATCGAAAATAAATAATAAAATAAAAATAGTCAACAATAATACACATGTAAAATCAATTTTAAAAATAAATAATTACTATGTGATATATACATTTTGAGGTGGAAATAAATCACATGAAGCAAAATGACCTAGTGATAAGTGCCCCTTGTATGCATTCTCAAGGTCATGGGTAATCTTGAAATAATAAGAAAGAAATCTGTATTTTTTTATATACTAGGGCCTTTTCCAGATTCGCTCAATATGACACGGGGAAGATGAGTATTAACCCTTCATTTTTAGCTTCCTCAATAATGTAGTGGAAGTATTCCTTCTTTGAGCTTCTCCCAATCAAACGGACACCTTGTTTGGAAAAACAAATAAAAGATAGAGAAAAAAAGGAACACAATCATAACATAAGAGCATAACGTGAAAACTCCAAAATCGAAGAAAAATCACGGTTATTATCACTAGAGAATAACATTATGTGAAAATTGTTACAACATACAATATTACTCTCAACTAACCCAAGCCCCTAGTATATCTCACACCCTCCAAAATAAATATTAAACTACATTTTACAACACCTTAATACAAGAGTATAGAAGAACAAAGAAAGTCAAATATAAGTTTAAAGTGTTTTTGATTGATTCATCCTAGAATGAAGAACTTGAATCCTATATATAGCTTTGGACTTCCTCTTCCTTCATAAAACTAAGTGATGCGAGACTTCAACAAATTTGCATCCTATATATAGCCTTGGACTCTCTATTCATTCACAAAACTAAACAAAATCAGACTTATTCAACATGTATATTTTCAACCAACTCCAACAAAATCCCAACCTTGATTGAAAATAATACATAAGCTTTCATCATCTTCATCGACAATCATACTCCACCATAAATAGTATCAACTTGTATATTTTCAACCAACCCCAACAATCTCCACCTTGATTGAAAATAATGAAGGTAAAAAAATACACAAGAAGGGGGGATGCATTATGTATTTCAAAAACATTTTGCTTCTAAAAAATAGATTCAGAGTCTGATATCATAGTTTATAATAGCAGCGAAAATAATAAGAATCAGAAGCAATAAGTAAAGCAATACATAAAATTTATCATGGTTCATCTCCTAAACTGAGAGTAGTCAAACCCTTTGTTTCAACAGGAGCTTTTCATTATAATCAAACTGATTATACTTTGCTTAAGAAAATAGTAAGAGACTTCACTGCTCAAGCAACCTAGCAAGAGACTTCACTGCTCATGCATGTAGGTAAGAAACTTCATTGCTCAAGCAACCTTACAAGAGACTTCCTCTACTTTGAACAAACATTTTTGTAGAAAAGATAACGACTATACTTTGATACATAATTAGAAGTATAATAGTTGTACAACAACCACAAAGGTTATTAACTCTTAATATTTTAAAGATATACAAATATAATAAATCTTAAGACTTTATGCAATAATAATCATAAACAATAGCTCAAAGTCATGCTAAAGTTATTCTGATGTAGTGTTGTTGTTGTCAACTTCTTTCAAATCTTCAACTTCCTTATATAGAGGGAGAGAATGAGTCCTTAGAAGGGATAAATATAAAATCTTTCTTTGTGAAAAAGGATACCAAGAGAGATGTTGGGGGATGTATCTGGTTAGAAACATTGTCCAATGAATAAAAGTATTGTTCACAACATCTTTCTAAGTACTAGGTATATACCAAAAGGTACAACAGACTAAAAGGCCACATCATCCTTCCTTGAGCCTTGCAAAATAAAATCCTAGTTGATTATCTCTAGAAATCTGGCATTTTGACAATATTGATATGCTTTTAGTACACAGTACGGATAAGAGGCACATTTGGCCTTCAGAGTATGAGATGATATTAAAGACTAGAATACTATGATCAAAGTCAAAACCTTCAGAGGTAGAATCACCATATTCAGAGTCTGATCCTTCTAAGTCATCAGATTGTAATCTTCTAGAATCTGAGATACTTTACTTCTCCTCATATGCTTTTAATAGGGTTTATTCAGAGTTGAATACTAAGCTTGTTATCCGGCATACTTGAACATATGTTAGTATACCCAATTATTCTTTAAGTACTTTGTTATCATCAAAACCCAAGGGATATGAAAATTTTTGTTCCAACAAATAATACATAAGTTTTCATTGTCTTCGCAAACAATTATACTCCATCCTAAATAGTATAGTTACTTGGAGTTACACCACTCAAAGAATATTCACATTGTCTTCAGCGACAATCATAGTCTTAAAAACTATCATACTCTCTCATGAAAAATATATTTCACTTGAAGATATACCACTTCAAGAACTTCACATTGTCATCCCCGACAATCATATATTTTGTCATGAGTAATAAATTTCACTTGAAGTTAAACCACTCCAAGAATCTCACTTTATCTTCATTGACAATCATAATTTTAAAAAACTATCACACTCCACCTAAAAAAGAGTACATTTTATTTGAAGCTAAATCACTTCAAGAATTTTTACATGTTGAAACATTATGGTGCAACTTTCTTGTTAGTACGAAACTCTTCAACCACTGACATAATTCTGCACCTTGTGTAATCTTGATTGTATCAACATATCTTTGACTTGAAATTTCTACAAACCAACAAAATTATTCCATCAATTTTCTCTACCCCAAACTGCACTGCGGAATTTGTGACTACAACTCAACAAATATTTCACAACACTACCATTCTTTTCTAACGTGGAAGATCAGACAAAGGTACAACCACAGAGCATGCTAAGAACACTTATCCCAGATCAAACCAAAAGCTCTAATACTAATTATTGGGAAAAAACAAACAAAGCATGGAGAAAAAAAGAACACAGTCACAATATAAGAACATAACGTGAAAACTCTAAAATCGAAGAAAAACCACGGTCGTTGTCAATAGACAACCAAAGAATAACGCTATGTGAAAATTACTACAACACATAATATACCCTCAATTAACCTATACCCCGATACGCCCACACCCTCCAAAACAAATATTTAACTATATTTCACAACACTCTAATACAATAGTATAAGAGAACAAAGAAAGTCAAATATAAGCTTAAAATGGTTTTGAGTGATGCATCTTGGAATGAAGAACTTGAATCCAGTATATAGCATTATACTCCATCTTCCTTTACAAAATTAAGCGACATGAGACTTTAAAAAAACTTGTATCCTATATATAACCTTGGACTTTATTCATTCACAAAACTAAGCAATGTGTGACTTCTTTAACATATATATTTTTAACCAACACCAACACACATAGATATCTGCCTAGTTATTTGGTTTCCTCAAATCCTAACAATTGTAAGAGTTTCCTTATGTTATGTTGTGCAATATTTTTAAAGAACATGTTTCTCTTACCATTAATAATTTGTTGTCATGAGATAACATAAAATTTGTTCAGAACCTCCATAACATAAGTCATTTGTTTTTCTATTGTTTTTCCAAATAGGAGAAGGTCATAAGCAAACATAAGGTGTGATTCCACTGTTTCTCATATGAGATCATTTATTCATACAAAGGAAAAATAAAAATGGAAAAATTAAATCTCTTTATTTCACACTTTTTAGAGTATAAATAACCATCTCTTTCTCCAGTCCACAACATATTCATTTGTATTGAGCTAACAATTACCATTATAATTTTGATAAATTTTCCAAGAATTTCAACTTTCAATAGAGAGTTATTGTAACATCCCGATATTTTATACGCAATACATTTATTTTTATTTTATTTTTTTTAAATTTTATTAGTTAGAGAATGATTTATTTTATGTGTATAGTTATATCTTAATTACTTATTTCTACCGGTCTATTTTAATTACTTGTTTCTATTTCTCTAGTTTAATTATTTATTTTTTAAACAATTATTTTGATAGATTGATAATATTAAATTTAATTATCTTTACTTTTATATCACCTATATTTTTTTAAATTTATAAATTTATTTATTAAATTTAATAATTAGGATTAAGTTTTACTATTATATATATTTTTATTTTAATATTTTGATAGACTTATAAATAAGAAAGCATTTTAATGTAAGTATTTTAAAATAATAGTATTTTAATTATAATTTAATAAAATATATAAATGAATATATATTTAATTTAATTGAATTAAATGTAGAAATAAAGGGGGTGTGAGTAGTAACTATTTTCCCCATGAGTAAATGAACTATAAAATAAATAAGTAAATAAAGAAAAGAAATAAATAAAAAAATTCTACTTTTTATCAAACTAAATTATATATTACAGATCCGTCTATGCTACATCGGTACAACGATTACACATTTATCCCTTAAGCATGTATCATTGTATAACCGCTAGAAAAGAAATTTCAATTTCAACATAAAATCAGTTGTCAAAAAACTTTTTCCGTTTCATTCCAATTTTTAGTATGTTATTTTCATCAACTAATCATTTTAATTTGTATATTTATTTTGTTTTTCAGCCTTCTTTTACCTCATTTAACATATTATTTTCTCAGTTTGATTAACGTCGCAATTTTGTTCGTATTTTTGTCAGCGTAACTCTGATTTGCGCAAAATCAACGTCAAAACAATCAGGTGAACGTAAGTGATATTTTCATCAAGTTTGAACTGTGTTTTAGGATAATTTTCTTTTACCTACTTTCAATATTCTTTTACCTAATTTTGAAATTGGTATTTTTAGTGTATTTTAATATGATATTTTTAAATATTTATTCATAAATAATCGAAAACGATACAATTGGAGAATGAGGCGTCAAGACAGCGAAAATTCTGCATGTAGACTTGAATGAATATGTGGAAGTATGATAAAGATATAATCTTACTCGAGTGATCTTTAAATATGGATGGGAAGAAAAATGTTTAAGGTAAGGACACTTCTCCATACTAATTATAACGAAACTAATAGTTAAATATTATAGAATAAAACCATATAATGCATAATTGTTCTGAAGAGAGAATTAAAATATGATTATATTCGATATACATACTAGTTTTATATGTTGTATTTTTGGGTATGATGATGTGATATGAAGGGAACTTTGGTTGTTTGTGATTGTTATTATTGTGTATGATTTTGATGTGAATAAAATGAATTGTCCTAGTCGATTATGTTTGGAGATGGATGATTGTGAACTAAATTTTAAAATGATTGTATTTAATGATGGTTTGTAGAATTTTGTGGAAGGCATATGCATTTCATGACATATGCATCTTTTTCCTTTGTGGCGGGTTGTCTTTATGGCGGATTGTCTTTGTGACGGATTGCCTTTGTGGCAGTTTATAAGTTTATATTCGAACCATTTATATTTATAAGCATGCATGTTTACACGTAAAGATATTTGTAAAATACTAATTTTTGTGAATTTGATTTCTCTTAAGTTGTTATGTTTTGTAGGATTTATTTTATAATATCGTACTATTTGTTTTGTTTGATTTAATATGGATGATGGAAGATTGACCCCTTACAACCAATATTTTTGATACTAATGAATTTGAAGATGTGAAGTCAAAATAATGTGTGATGTTTCACGTGATTGTAGGGAGAAAATTGAGTTTTTACTAAACTCATTTGTTTTACTTTAAATTACATTTCTTATCAAACTTGCAATTCTAATTTTATACCGAACGTAAATTGTAACATTTAAAAAGTAAATATAGTTGTTTTTACCGGTGTCTTGGATCAAAATCCGAGGCATTACAATTATGCACAAACTTCAACTAAGTTTATCATAAACTTTAACTAAATCAACTTTAATAACAATTAAATTATTCTTCTAGTTCAACCAACGCATACTATGAAACATCTCTTGTGTTAGTATAATGCTTTTGTGAATATTTCTTCCATAGATAAAAACATTTTGGTATGGATACGCCAATTTATCTATGCAACTCTTGAGTCTATTGACCATAAATTTGCTTAAAATCTTTTAAATTGAGATACAAAGGGAATTGGGCTTAAACTAGTCAACATATTGTGGATGAGAAACCTTATGTATCAAACAAATATTAATAAAATTTATCTATGTAATGTGGTATGGATTTAAGCTCGTGATGTAATGGTAGGTACTCTCCCTAATATTAGAATTGATATTTTGATAAAACTAGTAGGATATTCATATTGGCTTAGAGCATTTCAAGGTGTCATATCGAAAACCGTTTTTTAGTTACTTCCTCTTAAGGTATTCACTCAAACGGATAAGTAAACCATTAAATATTTATGTCTGTTTTGAATAAAAAGAGATAAAAATACATTTTGGAATCTTTTCATTTCATTGTTTTATTTTTATTTTTTTACTTAAAATGTATTTTTCATTTTTTTTAAACACATGAGATAAAACAGAATGCGGCCATGTCGGTTCCTGAAATAAGGAGAAGACTCGTATCGTATATTCGTGGTGGCGTAGAATAAGACATAACATAACAGATCTTTTTTTCCAACTTGAAAATCTTCACTTCCCAAAATCGATTATTCTTATTCTTGTACATTGAAACCAAAACCCTAATCCCATTCTTCCCCTCTCCACTCTCATTCTCTCTTCCCAAAATTCTCCAATGAGCTATCGAATGGTAGATTCCTCCTTTTTCAAAACCGCAATTCATACTTTTTCGTTGTTGCTTTTGTTACTCGTAACTTAAATCTAGGTTAACCTAACATCACGATTCATCACTAGTAACTGTAAATCTATAGAATAATATTAAAATTTATTTGCTCATATTGTTTAATTAACATTGATTTGATTGATTTTTTGTATCATAATGTAATTTGATTGAGAAATTTTTCAGAATTTAATGTAATTTAGGTTCCTAATTCATTTCCATATTCAAAACTTCACTATTCTAACTAGTAGAACTACTGTGAACTAAAGTAAGAAAGAATGCACTGCTTTGTGAAAATCTGCTTGCCTGTATTGGATTTTCAATTTTCAATCATCAATAGACTAATCAGTGAACTTAGATGATACTTACTTGCTTGGTGAACTTTGCTATGCAGAAGTGTGTGCACTTGTTGTTATACATTTGTTAATATTATTCTTGATGAATTTTGTGTCTTCTGATTTTTTTTGTTATGGTAGCTTATATGTTGTTTCTTATTATGAGCTGTTTATGCATCAGAATGGTGAAGATGCGCGCAGAGATTTAAAAAGGAAGCTCCCTCAGATGGATCGAGGGCAAGAGCGGAGATCTTATAATATGAATTCTACACCTTATGATAGGAATGCACTTCCTCCTGGTGGGTTTTATTTTATTTTATTTTACTTTATGTAATACAATCAAAAGATTTGGTTAATGAATCATGTGAATTGTTTTGTAGTGTCAAGAATTGATATATAATATTGTACTTTAAATCTCAATGTCCTGTAAGAGAGTTGCGTTTTTCTTTCTTTTTAGAATTTACACAAAAATTCAGGAATCCATGTAATTAAATGAAGCTGTATGTTACCATTAGCATTGGGAGATTTGTTCTCCTTCTGCAATTGAGCAAATGGTGGAAAATAGAGTTTGATGGTTTGGGCATGTAGAGAGATGACCTGTAAATTATGTGGTAAGCATAGTAGATTTGATGGAGAGAAGTCAAACAATTAGAAGAAGAGGAAGACCTAGAAAGACTATAAGAGAAGTTATTAAGAAAGATCTTGAGATTAACGGAAGTTGATTCATGTATCCGACGCCACTTAGTGGGTTAAGGCTTGGTTATTGTAGTTGTTGTTGTTGCAATTGAGTGAGTTAGTTATATATGCCGATTGTTGAATCCAAATGAGTTATTTCGTGAGATTCTTAACTATATGTTTCATGTTTTGCATTATATAAGTATGATCCTTGTTGTTATTTTGAACCGATATATCTTTGACGGAGAGAAGTCAAACAATTAGAAGAAGAGGAAGACCTAGAAAGACTATAAGAGAAGTTATTAAGAAAGATCTTGAGATTAACGAAAGTTGATTCATGTATCCGACGCCACTTAGTGGGATAAGGCTTGGTTATTGTAGTTGTTGTTGTTGCAATTGAGTGAGTTAGTTATATATGCCAATTGTTGAATCCAAATGAGTTATTTCGTGAGATTCTTAACTATATGTTTCATGTTTTGCATTATATAAGTATGATCCTTGTTGTTATTTTGAACCGATATACCTTGTTTCTATGTAGTATTCTTTTCCTTGGAATTTTTCAAGTTTGAGACTTTGAGTACATACTTTCAAGTTATTATTGCAAGTCCTTGTTACCAGATGATGACATTTTTCTTCAACTATTTAGTCGTTTTTTTTTTTTTGTGATAATGACATATGCTTGGTTTTCTTGTTTGTTATTTTCACATCCAAGTTCATGATTCAATTTTCTTTGCACACTATTTAAACTGTTGAAAACTTATCCTTTCTTGCTTTTTATGCTTGTAACTTATATCAATGTTCATCACTATAATGTTATGGGTTCTATTACCAGTTATTTTATTTTATTTTTTTATGTTTAGTTTATCTTGATTACAGGTTGGTTAGACTGCCCACCACATGGGCAAGAACTAGGTTGCATAATTCCTTCAAAGGTTCCACTTGGTGAATCCTTCAATGATTACATTCCGAATAAAAAATATACCCCCAAGCAAGCAATTCTTCAACAGAGAGCTTTAGGTAGAGAAGTGAGTTTACTAGATGCCATTGATATACTCTGTTAACTGTGTTATGCTTTGGGAAGTTAAGTACATGTCTCTAGGAACATAAATGGAGATAATAGTAGAATTTTGGTGTGCATGAGCCGTTAATATCAATATATAAAGTTCTTTTATAGAATTGTTTTGTTAAACATTTTGATGTGACTTGTCAAGTTGTCATCTTTTTATTCGTTTGACATTATGATTAAGAAAAAAATGTAAAATTTTAAGCATGTTTCTTTTTGATATTTTTATTACTTCACAACATTTAAAGAAACTTGTTCACGGGCATTGCACAAGTTTGGTGTTCCAAGGGAAGTTTTATTGACAGAGCACCACTTGATTGTCAGTTTAGGATTTGAGTATAAAGACATAAAAAGCAGGAAGAATAAGGTAGTAAGGGCCTGTTTGATTCCCTTCTTAAAAACAATTTTTTTGTTTTTAAAAACTAAAAAATTAAAATCTTTGGGATACTATATTTAAAATATAATTTTTAAAAACTGTTTTGTGTGTTTTACTTTTGAAAACCAAAAAAGTGAAGAGCTGAAAATTTTGGTTTTTAAAATTACAATTCAAATATTGAAACTTACTGAAAATTGAAAACAACCAATTTTATCTCATTCTTCTCTCTTAGACAAAACTCACACAATCTTCTCACACGCACACATGAAGAAAATGCAATGAAGAGAAAGTTGTGCGATCTTCGATTTTTCATGCAGTGATAATCGATTCATGGTCCATGATCTTCAACTTCTTCTCTACAATTTGTGATTTAAATTTTTAAAAATTTTTTTGGTAAGATGACTTTTCAAAACTCTATTTGGTAACAAATAAAATATTTATTTGGTAAACTAATATTAAATAAATTTTTAAAAGTCATGTTACCAACGAATTTTTATAAATTCGAATCACAAATTGTAGTGAAGAAATTGAAGATCATGGACCATGAATCGAATACCGCTGAATGAAAAATTGGAGATCGCACAACTTTCTCTTCATTGCATTTTTTCGTGTGTGAGAAGATTGTGTGAGTTTTTGTTTAAGAGAGAAAAATGAAATAAAATTGGTTGTTTTCAATTTTCAATATTTGAATTGTAATTTTAAAAACCAAAATTGAAAAATTAAAACCAAAACACGTTTCCGCTCTTTCATTTTTTTAGTTTTCAAAAGTAAAAAACACACTAGTTTTTAAAAATAATACGCCAAATAAGATTTTAATTTTTTAGTTTTTAAAAACAAAAAACTGTTTTTAAAAAGGGAATAAAACATGCCCTTAATAGTTATCTTCTTAAAAGTACTTTTATAAAACATATTTTAAAAAGTGAAAACCAAAATTGATTCAAACGAGCCCAAGTGTTTAGATTTCATTTTTGCTTGTTAATAAATACAGATAAGGCCAAATTTGCAACACGGGGAGGCTTTTACATGTTCTACCTGTTACCTCACATGAATAGCTGATCTAAAGATTCACATATTAAAAGGAAGACTTTAAGCAATATAAGAGTAACTTTTGGTATTCTTGTTTTACATCATGTCCTGTGCATAACTTGTCTGACTGCTTTTTGTCTTTAATTCATGTATATAGTTTTGTTGCACCCAGCATTTTAAGCTCTACTCTTAAATTTGCAGCTTGGTTTAGTGATTGATCTGACAAATACTACTCGTTACTATCCATTATCAGATTGGAGAAAAGAAGGGATTGACCATGTCAAGGTAGCATATGATATTTTATGCTATTGCTTTTGAAGCATCAATTGCAATTGAATTTTTAATTTTGACTTGCTTGTGGCAGATAAGATGCGAAGGAAGAGATTCTGTACCTGATGATGAATCTGTACAAAAGTTTTGCAATGAGGTAGCTTCTATTTGTAGTATTAATGTGTGAACTTGCAGTTCGTGGGTGTTACTTCTACTCACTTTTTTTATTAATGCTCACTGTTTGATAGTAAAAGGTTTCTATTTTTTCATCTTATTGTTAGCATTCCTAGGAGTGATGGTACTGTTCATGATAACTTGCTTGAGGTTTTATGATTTATACCGGTTAGACATTCTTTTTTAGGTTTTGGATTTTTGCTCCCGAAGACCAAACACAAAGAAATATATACTTGTACACTGCACTCATGGGCATAATCGTACAGGCTATATGATTGTTCATTTTCTTGTGCGTACAGAATCACTATCTGTCACTGAGGTGAGTAAAATTATAAATTGTTCACATGTTTCTCTCAACAGACATTTCACTCTAATAATTTGTATATCGTGCATATTTATGCTTGTTACCTTCCAGGCAATAAATAAATTTGCGCAGGCACGCCCCCCAGGAATTTACAAACAGGATTACATTGATACCCTGTACATGTTTTTTAATGAAAAGAAGCCTGAAAGTCTTGTTTGTCCACCAACACCAGAATGGAAGAGCCTCCCTGATTCTGACGTTCATGATGTGTCTGTCTCAGCTACAGACAATCATGCATACATTTTGCAGCAGGTACATGCACATTCTTGTTTACATAACTTAGTGAAGATATGGTTGCAGTTTGTTTGCACGTGTTTTTGCCAATTTAGTCATGTTTTATTTTTTTGTTCAAGAGCATTTATAAATACAACTGCCTTCACTCTGCATCTTTCTGACTTTCTAGCTTTACTCATGTATTATTATAGCATAACTTCTTATTTTCTTTGATATAGAATTTTGAACACCAGTTTATCTCCCATCCCTAAACAAGTATGTCACAGCCGAAGAGGAAGCTTCTGATTGAGTTTTATTGTTCAGAAATTAAATTTTTGTTGTCTTCCTTGATGGTCTTTGTGTAAATATTTCCTTGATGGCCTTTTTGTGTAAATATTTTGCCTTGTGTTGCTCGTAGTCTGAAATGCAGTTTTGTGAATGACTGAGTACAAGATTAATATGTTGTCACATTAATATCAAATTGCTTTCCTCGTACCACTTAATTTTAATTTTTTAATTTTTTAATTTCTTTGCATAAGTTTGTTTACTTTGAGGAAATTATAAGAAACTTTAAATCTCTTCAATTGTTTCTCGAAGTTGTATATTTTCCTTATGTTTGGTTTGATATTCTAGGAGAATATCGTGAGGAATGGAGTAATGACAAATGATGATGTTTTGGGAGATCCCATTCCTTCAAACCAGCTACGTACAATGCAAGAACTTTGTTATCAACTGCTCAAGTTGGGCAAAGGGGTGGGTATTTATGGCTTTTTTTGTTGATTTCTGCATATTTGTCTTCAAAATGACATAAACTCATCCTATTTTGTATAATCAAGTACTGATACTCAAGTATGGAATGAAAAGCTGTTATATAAGGGAATCTTTAAACTTGCCATACTTTTATTTTTGTTGAATATGACTCAGCTAGTAAATTGTATTTTTTTTCTTAATATACTTGTTAACATTTAATATGCTCGAAAGAAAGTCAATTTTAAATAAAGCTTTCCACCTTTTTTAAAAATATTGATATTTTAACACACTGGTGGTGTTGGTAATTGTCCTCATCCTATTAGTCACTTGTTTTTGTCTCTTTCATATTCACTATTGGCATGTATGTACCTTTGTAATTTCTTTTCTATAGATTTCCGAAATTCCTACTTTTTTCATGTATTAGTCATTTCAATCTGTATGTATAACATATAACTTGACCAGAGAGGAAACTTTTTATTAAGTACAGATTTTAGAGTCTTCTGCTTCTTCGTTCTTTTTAGAATTATTTTGTTTCCTCTGCTATAATATTTCTCTACTCCCTTTCTCTAATATTGCCTTTCAGTATTACTCAAAGTAATATTATTCATATCTAGGGTTAGGGGTTACATTTGCTGCATCTCAATAAAATCCATAAATAAGCTTGAAGCCAAACTATTATATGATACGTAAAAATTATTTATTTTATACTAAAAGTTGGCTGCATTATCTTTTGCTACACAAATTTGATATTATTTCTTTTCAGGGAAGAGGAGTTTTGTACTTTCCCGGATCCCACCCTGTTTCTCTCAACAGGTCCAAACTTGCCAAATCTGATTATTTTGATTTTTATAGCATTGTCAATTATACCTAACCTGATGATGAGCTTAGCTATTCTAAGAGTCTTCACTTGTTTTTCTATCATTTCTTAAAGAAGTAATATTACCCATAATGTGTTCTAAACTGTCAACCTGCTTTTAATTGTTCATTGCAAATTTGCCCCAATCATTCATTGTAAAAGAGCAACTTGTTCCGTTGATTAATTTTGTTTATCAATAGCTTCTGTAAAACGGTTTGGCATAAATTTTAGCAGGTCTCAAAGGATAGGATCGGAGCGCTGGCATTTTATTTGCTACATTAGATCTTCTATTTTCTATTCAGAATTCTATTTCTAATATTCACAATTGAATGTAATGGGAAGTGGAGTACAATGTATAGCTTATGCTGCCGGAGAGTTATTTGGGTCTGGGAACATAAGTTGGTTAGAATTTTTTATGCATAATTTAGGATGTTAACATTGTCAATCACTTTTACCTACAGACCTGAATTTATGCATAGACAACATAATAGTTATAACTCGTAACAGCCTCATAAAGTTAACGGGATCTTACTGGGAGAGATGCATCAACATTTACACCTGGATGTTAATGAAGTCATGGTTCCATACTACATTAAACTTTTATCTGTTAAATTTTAAGCTAAATTGTGTCAAAACTATCAGAACTGGATTTGCAAGGAATTTGCATAGATTAAAATGGTGCAAGTTCTCCAGATTTCTCTCCAGTGTATATTTTAATTTAGCCTCAATCAATATGCTTCATCAATTTTCAAATTATATCTATCCATAGTATTATGGTTCCTTTGGAGTAAATTACTTCACATAGACGTTCTAGAGTTTATTATGAAAACTCGCAAAAAAACTTCTTTTACATTAAAAAATGCTACAATAAACTTCAAAATACTGTTTGTCCTAACAGATTTGGTAATTGATCTATTAGTTAGTATTTAATAGACGCTTTACGGTCAAATAGCACTTTTGTTCCTATACCTGTTTAATTTTTATTATATTGAGAAAAAGGGAATCTTTCGTTTGATGCAGATTTTCAAGGGAGGGGAGAGTAATCTATTAAAATATTCATTTTAAACATTTGTATTTGTTAATTATCCACTCCGCTGTTGTCAACCGGTGTCCAATCAATTTGTTTTTTCAGGGAGAATTTACAACTCTTAAGACAACGATATTACTATGCCACATGGAAAGCTGATGGGACACGATATATGATGCTAATCACCGGGGATGGATGTTATCTGATCGACAGAAAATTTCATTTCCAAAGGATCTCTATGCGGTTTCCTTGCAAATACTCAAATGGGGTATATATGTTTATTTGCTTCACTTTGGTTGCCAATTAAGTTTTATATACCTGGAAATATGGAAGGTCAGTGGCTCTTTAAATTATATATTGGATTCTCTAATGAATAACTCTTGAATGTTTTTTCTTTTCTTTTTAATCATAAAATCTTCAAGGGTACACCCGAGAGGAATCACCACTACACATTACTTGATGGGGAAATGATTATTGACACGGATCCACATACTCATAAGCAAGAAAGAAGATACCTCATTTATGATTTGATAGCAATCAATCAAGTCTCTCTGACAGAGGTACATATATTTGATTGACTACCGTAGTATCACAATCTTAACCGACTTCTTGATGGTTCATTCTACAATTTTTATTCAGAAATTTACACTAGTCAACCTTTTTTAAAATATATTTTGCAACCTTTGAGTCCCTATTTTAGTGTTCAGCCAAACACTGAATCATATTGCTGGCAAGGTCTTTGAATTAATCAGTTTTATAAATATCTCCAAATAATCCTGCATGGATCGACAATCTTTGAGCTCTCTAATTGGATTTGAGATTACCTCTGATTTGTGTTGTGGAGTCTCGAGTGGGATCACTGAGTAATCCAGACTGCTAACTTTAGCTACTTATCGCTTTATAATATTTTTTTCCAAAACATCGTTATCAGGGCAGTTGATTGTTGATAGAATACTGGATTTGGGCTCTAGCCCAGTTGATTGTTGAATGGGAGGGTAGTGGCATGCCGGGATTTTGTTTGGAGGGGAACAGTTATTGAAAAGTATAAGAATCTGTTATCCTGATTTTAAGTAATTTTATGTTATAAAAGAGAATGTTGGCGAGTGGGAAATTCTTTCAGAAATATTGTCAGTAAACAGTTTGGAGAAGAAATTTTATGGTTAGGAGCTTAGATCTGGTTTAGGAGCTCATAGAACTCTGGTTTATGTATTTCATTTTGGTTTTTCACCACTGTAAGAGCTTGAGACTTACCATTTCCAGTCAATAAAATTCAGTTCATTACCTTAAAATTCTGAGCTCTATCAGCAGCAGTGATAATTGTTTTTTTTTAAAAAGCAGAAGTGATAATTGTTGTGTTATAAACTTGTAATTAATAATACAAATAGATGCTATTCAAGATTATATTTTGGAGAGACTGCTATTCTAACTTCTGGTTGAAGAATGGTTGCAAGTGCTATGTCTCTCGATGAGAGTATTTTCATTGTTGGTAGGACATCTAAAAAATTATGCAAAATCCGCAAAATGTTTCTGAGGTCCTTGTAAGTCTTTGATTGGTGCTTACAATGTGCTTGGCAGGCTTTTAACTTGACCATTTTTGTCGTAATGCATGCAGATGCCATTTTATGAAAGGTGGAAATTGCTGGAGAAAGAAGTAATTGAACCCCGTAACATGGAGCGAGAAGCCCTTTCCAAGAGTATAAGTCCTTATTATAGATACGACTTGGAACCATTTGGTGTACGTATAATGATATTTTCTATTCTATTCTCAGAAACAATTTTGTTTCTAGTAGGATTAGCTATTTGCTTAAATTCTTGTATTTTTGTTTCAGGTGAGGAGGAAGGGTTTTTGGTTACTATCTACTGTGTCAAAGCTCCTTCATAAATTCATTCCACAACTCTCACACTCATCAGATGGTCTTGTATTCCAGGTATTAATTAGAAATTATTATCTCTCTCAAATACTGAATGTCCCCGGTTGAGATTGGATGTGTAGCATTGTTGAATCAATAAACATATGGCTTTTAGGAGGAGCCTGGTCTTTGAGGATGATGTACAGAATTGATGCTCTGCTAGTGAGCAAACAAATTTTGTTCAGTTGGTTCTTGTTTCGAAATATTTGAGTCATTACTGTCTGTTGAAAAATCTCAATACTGATGTACAATTATGGTTTGCAAAAAATATTGACTGACCATGAACCATACCATCACAATTATGCACAGATGCTGTCTGCTTTATCAACCTGTCTGTTATTTATGTCGGATTTTATCAGGGTTGGGATGATCCATATGTCCCTCGCACGCATGAAGGTCTTCTGAAGTGGAAATACCCTGAAATGAACTCTGTTGATTTCCAATTTGAGGTTGCTTAAGTACTTCACCTTGAGTTCAGAAATTAATTCAGTTTATGCGGCATTAACTCACTCTAAGGTGGTAACAGGTGGGAGCTGATGGTCGACCCCTGCTTTTTCTGTTTGAACGTGGAAAGAAGAAGTTAATGGAAGGGAATACTGTTATTTTTAAAGGTTGCAGGCCCTTGTTATTCTATTAGACCGTTGTAATTTTGTCATTCAGGTTGTTGTTTTTGACAGCTACTTTAAATGAATGGTCAAATTTTTGGCCATGCGAGGATTTACTTGTGTAGTGAGCTATAGACAATTCCTTGAGCAAGACTCCGCGTCTGGTTGATTTATAGCTAAAATTAAACCGTAATCTTAAATAATTTTCAGATTCGGAAGATATTTCTTCCTATTCAGGGAGGATAATTGAGTGCTACTGGGATGCTGCAGAGCATCACTGGGTCTGTATGCGGATCAGAGCTGATAAAGCAACTCCAAATGAGATCAATACTTATAGAAAGGTTACACTGTTATCTATCTTATGTATTCTATTAAGCTTTCTTCTTCTTCTTCTTCTTCATAATTCCATATTCTGTTTAATTAGCTCATATGAAAACCTTCTTGAACATTCTATTTTTAAAATTTTTTGATTCAGGTAATGCGAAGCATAAAGGATAATATCACAGAAGAAGTCGTGTTGAAGGAGATTAATGAGATCATTCGACTACCCTTGTATTCAGACAGAATACAGAGGGATATCAAGGCTCACCAGCATATGGTCTCTTCGCGGCGCAAGTGAGTTATCATAAAACCAAGGCACAAGACTGACTAACCATGCCCGGTAGCGAAGCCGTACATGCCGAAGTTATTATATGCTCTACGGCGTTCATTCTCAATATTATCAAAAAGGTTCAGGATCTCTTGGTGTTGTCTGTGGCTATACGTTTTTGACCGTTGTTGTATATTAACAATTTTGCTAATTTGATGTATTATTATTTTTTAACGTAAAGCAAAGACGAGTTCCTAAGATCTTGTTGGAAAAAAAAGTGGAAAAAAAAGCTCAAACACAAATGGCTTTGAGAGGGTATAGTGATACAGTACAGCCCTCTCATTTCTCACAAACACAAGAATTGACTTGACACTGCCAATTATTCGAGGTTTGGATAACACATGAATAATTTACTGTCCTGTCAATACATTTTTCATGGGATCAAACACTAGAATTGTTTTTTAACATTTTTTATATATTATAAACTAAATATAAAAAATTAATGCATCAATATTTAAGAACAAAATATATTTAACCATAATAATTCTCACCAACTAATTTCTATGGTTGAATATATGGAAATGTTTCAAACTTTTAGTTACTAATCTTTTTATTTCCCTATTTCAAATATGAATTATCTACCTAATGTAGAAGTGTTATTTTATACATGATATGATGGGAAAATAACATTCACTTTTTCTTGGGATCGATATTCCATGTAATTTTTTAAAAAAATAAACACTAATTTCTTTTAAGTTCTCATCAATTAAATAAACACTCTACAAGATTATTTACCTATACTGACATAACATAAAATTTTAGCGAGTAAACGGTAAGGTAAGTATAGGTGAAATTTTTATCCAAATAATCTACCTTTAAAAAAAAAAATTTAAATACTCCACTTTTTAATTTATTTTCTATAGTATTTAATTTTAGGGAACTGATTGTAGGGTGGCGTGGTGCAGATCTAGAAGGGGTTGAATAGATTACTTGTTAGACGCTACCAATATTTGATTTCAAAAATTTTTAGGCGGAAGCGGCCGAGGAACTATATTCGTCTAAAACGAATTTTTACCGAAAAAATCAAATATGCGCAAAGTCTATATGGAATTTGATAAAAACGAGATTAAGAATCATAATTTGAACACACATCAACCATAATTTATTCACTGTGAGGTTGAACTATTTCCAATGCTTGAAAAAAATAACCGAATTGAAAAAACAACACAAGCGTTTGTTGTTCACACAATTAGTCAAACACTTACTGTGCAAGGCACCACAAGTGAATTCCAATATGTGAGTGAAGTGCTTAAGTCTTCAATTACAATCAAGGATTGTAATAGGCTTCAAAAATGGTTCAACACTACTCACATCAGAATTTTGATTAACTTAATTGTTTGCACACAAACTCAGAAATTAAGCAGTTGAAAAATAAAGAGAGAACACCAATTTGTTGAGGCAGTTACATCTTTCCTCAATTCTAAAACTAGAACTGAGACATATATATATATATATATATATATATATATATATATATATATATATATATATATATATATATATATATATATATATATATATATATATATATATATATATATATATATATATATATATATATATATATATATATATATATATATATATATATATATATATATATATATATATATATATATATATATATATATATATATATATATATATATATATATATATATATATATATATATATATATATATATATATATATATATATATATATATATATATATATTGGTAAATGTTTACAAGAGAAGCAATAGAAATCAAACGATCAAACTCAATTGTTGATGCATACCCTATTCCTTCTCTTCCCTTGATTCAAACTAAATCAAGTCCTTCGAACGCGATAAATAAATCTCCGATTACGGCACACCCTTTGAACAATCTCACGGTCTTCAAATCGTGTCTGGCTGATTTCAATCACCAACGCTTCGAACCCGAATCTTCCTTTCACAATCCTCCAGTTACCGCTACTAAACCGAAAGAACAACCTGTTCTTCGATTATCTTCACTCCGCTGAATCTGTGATTGACCGATTCGTGCAAAAAAAAACCCAAAAATTCAAGATTCTTGGAGGACAAAACTCTAACGGTTTTATTCAAGAAAAACCTATTGATTTCTCAACCCAAACCAAATTACACCACTCCTTGTTTGGACATTATCACCTCTAAAAAGCATAATGCACAACCAAAATAATTATGTGTAGTTGAGAAAATGCAAGAAAGAGGATGAAGATGATGAGAGAAAAATCAATATCTATTTTCACTTTTCTTCTGGTTTCTGAAGAATAAGCTAACTCACTATATATGCAAGTCAGAAAACAATTAACCAATATAACAACCACAAAGACAGTTTCACATAACAAAAATTTAACTGAAAATGCACGAGTGGTTGACCTATACAGAAAGGAGGGTCGACCTGAGCTCACCCGAATTTTAGATTGTGCAGAAAACAACATCTTACGTCGATCGAAACAGGTCATGCGTCGACACAAAGCATACAAGATTAGACAAACAGAAATGGACACAGTATGAGTTGATCGGAGGGTCGACGCGAGCACTCTTAAGAGTGGACCATGCAAAATACTTTATGTATGAGTCGACCGGAACAAATTTGAGTCGACTCAAAGACACAAAATTTGCAAAAATGCATATTTTCATGTATAATGCTACTTTTGAGATACTCCACCATATAGTAAGCTAGACATACTTGACCAAACCTATATGAAGCATATACTGAACAATTTTTATATGTATCAAACAATATTTTTGACCGATGTTTGACTCAAGAGGGATAAGGTATGCATATGTGACACAATAATACCGTCCAAAGTACATTTTTCTACCTATCTAAGTTTTGACATCATTAAAACAAGTGTAACTAAATATGAGGATTGCCCTCACACACTCCCCATTTTTTATGATGGCAAAATGGAAGAAACTTGGTGTGCGATGCATTGTATCATCCTCCCCCTTACTCGATGTCTTTGTCTGTACACAATTTACATGTTTAATAAGTCTTACAAGTGATGCTTCTGCTTGATATTCTTCTCCCCCTTTGACAACATAAAAAATAAAGAAGATAGATTTTAATGTATTGCATATTATAAAAGAGATAAGCAAATTCAAGCCATTTGCAACAGGTTAAACATCAACACACATTCACATATAATGCAGTTAATGCAAGCATATAAATGGATAAATAGAACGACACTCCAAAGAACAACAATAATCACTATTTCATAACCAACAATAAGCATGTCTTCAAAGCCCGCTTTACAGACATGAAAATTTTTAGTTTTGTGAGTCGACCGGAACCCTATGTAGGTCGACTCATACATGTAAAAGTAGCAAAAATCATAAATTTTGTTCAACAAGCATCCAAAGAGACGTAAATAAACAGTTTACCCATATTTCAAACATACAAAGGGATGAAATACGCGCAATCATGGAATAAACATCAACAATAACACACAATTTGATACATTACTTTATATAAAAGAGGTAAGTGCTAGAGTTTCTAAATAAGGAAGGATAGTACCTCAACTCCAATTGATAGTTAATGCCCTCACATAAGGCTCTATAATTCTTCATTTATTAGATAAAAGATGAACAAAACACATATAGAGATAGATCTAAAGCATGTGAAAGTTACTTCCTAAGCACGATCCGAGATGTCGAGAACATCGAGTTCCCTACGGATGTGAAAGAAAGGCTCTGTAGCGAGTGGTTTTGTAAAGATTTCCGCAAGTTGATTTTTAGTATCAACATGCTCAAATACCACGTCGCCCGTCTCCACATGATCCCTAAGGAAGTGGTGGTGTATTTTGATATGCTTGGTGCGTGAATGTAGCACGGGATTCTTGATTAGGTTAATGGCAGTAGTGTTATCACAAAAAATCAGAACACAATCAAGTTTTAGGTTAAATTCAAGAAATTATTGCTTAAGCCATAAGACTTGAGCGCAACAACTACCGGCCGCAACGTATTTCGCTTCGGCTATTAACAAAGCAACGAAAACCAGCTTTTTGCTATGCCAACTCACTAAAGAATTTGAAAACAGATGACACGTGCCACTCGTGCTTTTTCTATCCGATTTGCAACCAAAAAAATCGGAATCAGAAAATCCAACCAAGGAGCAATCATTTCCCTTAGAATACCAAAGCTCATACTTTGGAGTACCTGAAAGGTATCTAAGTATGCGTTTTACCGCTTTTAAGTAAGATTCTTTGGGAGATGATTGATACCTTGCACACATACAAACATTAAACATAATGTCGGGTCTAGAAGCAGTAAGATAGAGGAGATATCCAATCATAGCTCGATACTTTTTCACCTCTACATCTTTACCATTTTCGTCTCGGTTAAGATTCGCACACGTAGGCATTCGAGTGTCGATAGCCTTGGAGTTTTCTATGGCAAAACGCTTAAGAAGCTCAAGGCAGTATTTTGTCTGGCTCACAAAAGTACCTTCCTTCAGTTGTTTGATTTGCAATACGAGGAAATAATTGAGCTCCCTCATCATGCTCATCTCGAATTCTCCATGCATTAATCTAGAAAACCCCCTTACTATATTCATGTTAGTTGATCCAAAAATGATATCAAAATATATTTGTACCAAAGTTAAGTGTTTTCCTTGACGTTTAATGAAAAGAGTTGTGTCAACCTTTCCTCTTGAGTATCCTTGGTCAAGAAGAAACTTGTTGAGACGGTCATACCAATCCCTAGGGGCTTACTTGAGTCCATACAAAGCACGTTTTAATTTGTATACATGATCAGGATACTCATGGGATTCAAACCTGGGAGGTTAGGCAACATAAACCTCTTCATGTATATATCCATTGAGGAACGCACTTTTTACATCCATTTGGAATAGTTTAAAATCTTTTGCACAAGTGAAGGCAAGTAGAAGGCGTATAGCCTCGAGTCGGGAAATTGATGCATAAGTTTCCTCATAGTCAATTCCTTCCTCTTGGTTATACCCCT